AAGGCAATGACCTGTCAGGAAGTGGGCTTGGATCTGTATAGTGTTAAAAATTCCCTTTCTTCCCTGACCTTGATGCAAAGGCTTTGTTCTTTATATATATTTCTACAGAAGGAACTCCAGAATGCCAATTTATTTCTGTGTCTAAGTTTTAAGGAGGTGGTACAAAACAGCAGGCTAAATGGACTTTCCTAAAAGAAAATTAAGACCATTAATTTAGTCACAGCTAATACTTTATACTTTGATTAACACAGTGAGAAATCCTTTTAATAAAGACTTCAAATATACCCAAGGCGATACGGAAAACACGAGGAACTTAAATCACAACTGTTCCATGAAGTTTTTGCAAAGCCTTCTTCGGTCCTTGAAGAAATCGAATACAAGCTAAATTCAGCATCCCCAAGACAATGTTAGTCAGATACTCAAGTTAAAACACGGCAAAGGCATTTGTCCATTAATCAAACGTATCTTTCCTTCTCTTCTCTTTATTGATTAATGAAAGATCCAACATGAATGAAATCACAGTACCGGCTCTATCTTTATCATATCTGTCAGTGATGGTAGTGGTGTATCTGCGGCATGGGTTTAATCTTTCCTTTGGAGGCACAGACTCTCGATCAAACAGCAAATCACACTGAGGGCACAGCAGCAGCCCCAAATCCCTGACTTCAACACTGAAAAACGAGGCAAAATATACAGATTCACATGAGATAAGTCTGCAAGCACGAGTGCATGATGGGAATATTTAGTTACTGTGAGGACACAGTAGAGACATTGCTCTGCCCTGGTCTGAATAGCAAACTTTAATCATTATGTGAATCTTGGCTGTCGAACTTGCTGGCAAAATGCCGTTAAAGACATTAAAGGGAGATTCAAACAACCGAGTAAAGGGATTAGTTTCTGAAGGGTAGTCAATGACAAACTGCTTTTCATTAATGGAAATTTCTTGGGTAAATATACATTTTAGAAAAAGTGTGGCTCATTACATTGGCCTAATAGACGTGTCAGATATATATTTTTATAATTTCATCGTGACTAATGTTTTAATTTGACTGGCATTTTGACCTTTCGAGTAACATAATTGTTCCTGTTTCATATTTCAGAGTTGATTGCTTTGCTTTAAATAGCTCGCTGTGTTCTCTTTAAAGAGACCGAATCAGTCCAATTATTTTAAAAGCATATTTCATATGGCCATCAGAGCTTACAATGTGCAGCACATCCTTGATGCATTTATTCTTTTTAAAAGTGGAATTAGAAAGAAATTAAAAGCAAAGTGTATCCGCCATCATGGCTTTGGAAGACTGATGCCTGGGTTGTGGCAACCGCTGCGATCCGAAAATGGCTGTGAAAAGCAAATCTGCATAGGCAAACACAAGCAGAGAACACAGACACACACACCGAGTCTGTCTCTCTCTTGAACAGACAAACACGATGATTCTTATTTTTCTCACAGGGAGAAGTCCAGGTGCTGTAACCTTTTGCTGCTAGTCCTGTCAGAGTGAAAAACCCAGCTGTGTGCTGGGAATGACATACTGCAAATAGGCCTTCAGCTTCTTATTGGCATTCAGCGAGCCCAACACTTCTCTTTTTCTCTTTCTCGATCTCTGTGTCCCCGACTCTCCTCTCTCTCACACACACACACACACCTACAGATCCACTTCCCCGCTTGTCACTGTGCATAATGATAAGCCCATCCAGAGCACCATCTTGTGGACATCTCCAACTCTGGTGGTTGTCTAAAACGTCCCTTTTGATTACATTCAATTAAGCAACTGACTAATCAGCTTCAATCAAACGTCTCCGGGTGCTCTTTCTTTAATGGCACAATAGGAGTACCTCAAGAAAAGCAAAAGCTTGTTTAATTTTAACTTTAACACATACCATCATTAGCACTGTCTTTCACAGGGTTCACCGAGACAGACGGAGACGAGGTCTTACATAAATAGATGGTTTTAAAGTTTTAAAGTTACATCAAAGGAATAAGTTTTCAAGCAAGAGCAGAACTCTGCAGGACTTTTTGCATGACTAGCAGCACTAAACGTGACTAACAACACACTGTGCCATGACAAACAGAGCTCTGGTCCTCTCACCCACAGATCCAGCTACCCCCCACCAGTGCATATAAATTAAAAAAAAAAATCCAATGAGTGTACGTATGTGTGCGCTGCTATGATCTCTGTCCCCAGGGTGTGTAGCGGCGCAAACCCCACTGCCTGTGCTCTGGTGCAGCCATCTGGATCACAGTGGGAAGCACCTGCTCGCAGGCTAACACTTTAACACTGCATCTGCTATGCTCCCCTCGCCAATCATTTCCACCTGAAAACCTTTTCCTCTGTATTAGGAATAAATGTTTTCCCCCAAAAGGCATCAAGTGAATGGATTTCAGAGCAAATGTGTCCTACTTGTTAAGCTTTTCCCCAGATTTTGCTGTCACTTTAATTCAGTTGAAGAAAAAAGGGAGAAGACTTCCTGCTCCTACTCAGTTTTACAAATATAATTCTTTAAAGCTGACCTTAATCGATACTTCTAGATAGAAAGTGGATCAAAATAATTAGCATAATATGAAAGGGGTCAATCATGGTGCCAATTCGTTCACTGTGACCAGTCTTGCTTTTAGGGAGGTAGCTGTATTGATCAGAGGCCTATATCATATCAAACAACTAGCTATGAAAACAGTGAAGACTGAAGTTGCTAAAAAAGACATATTTTACCCAGTAGAGACCAAAACAAGAATTAAAACCAGTGAATTGTAATGTTATTGTCATTTCCATGTGAAAACAAGAACAAGTCATTGTTCAAAACCTTGCCATATCAACTCAAGAAGTGAGGTCAGTATTTAGAGCTTCTTTCTGTTGCCCCCATGTGGCCAAAAATCTCATTGCAACCTTTTCCAAATACTTCCACTCTTATCTATTCATTTCAACTCAATTCTATTTTATTCATTTTGTTTTTTAAATCAAATCACAAAAGCAGTCAAGGCACTCAAGGCACTTTATAAAGCCCCTACAATATTACAATGACAAAACAACAATCACACAACCTTCTTTGGGCAAGGACTTGGTGACAGTGGGAAGAAAAAACTCCTTTTTAATAGGAAGAAACCTTTGGCAGAACCAGGCTCGTGGAGGGGCAGCCATCTCCTGCCATCAGCTGAGATGGCTGGGAGCTACCCAACTTCATCATAGGTAGTGAAAGCCATCACTCAGGCCAGTATTTCTATCATGTCATCTTCACCTTGAAAATCTAATCTGCCAGGTTATTTATGTCAACACAGCCAAGTGCAGATTTGTTTACCAGCCTCACTTGTGCTCTTACCTCACCCCAAATTTATTGACCAACTAACTCAGTCAGAGGTTGCCACCGAGACAAGCAATCAGCTTGGTGCTCGTACACCCGTGACCTCTGATGTCAAGTTGCTACAGCGGGATGCAGCAGCAGAATACTGATAACGGCTCTCTGCTTGCAGGTGGAGGCAAAAAATCTATAATTCATTTTCAGCTGCCCTTCTGATAGAAATGACGGTGTGAGGCCAACAAATAGAGTTTGTACATTATTAGCTGATGAAATCGCACAGGCGCCAAACAACATAATGCAGTCCACAGAAACAGCAAAACCCAGCTTGATACGACTTGACAAAAATATCACTGTATTCTTTCACTGCAGAACGTTTGGAAAATAAGTAACGGACCGGTGTGTTTGCCTTAGTGGCATGTAGCAATGAGATTGCAATTGCAGCTAACTGATTCTCTCCAGGTGTGTACCTAGGTTGCCAGTAATACCTCTTTACCACCGATGTTCTGCCAGTTCCTAATCTAGAATCAATTTCATGTTTTTCCACCTAACAATATCTGGTGCTGGTGCCAACACAGCATCAGAACCACTATGGGTTTCCAGAAGTTGAGCAATAATTTCCACTCAGTAATATTAGGTTATAAATTCTAATGGCACTATAACTGGCTTGGATGGATGGATGGATGGATGGATGGTTTTAATATATCAAAAGCATACGTAATGCTACCAGTTCATTTTTATAAGTATAGTTTGGTCCATATGAAAGTCAAATCAATAGAAGTCAACAAGTTGTCATGCTAATATAAATTTAATCAAGTACTGGTAGGAGTTAGAAGTTACTGAAATACCTGCAAGCACACATGGGAATACAGTATATAAGGGAGGAAATTGAGTTTGTAGTTCAAACAAACTTAAAAGTTAATATTTGGTTTGGTAACCTTTATTCTCCAACACAGCCTGAACTCTTTTAAGGCAAGCTTTTCTGTAATTTCTTGAAGTAATCTTCAGGAATAGTTCTTTGGGATTTTTGAAGGACAATCCAAAATTCTTTGAATGTTGGCTGCCTTTTGTTCTGTTCTGTCAAGATGATCCCAGACTGCTTCAATGATGGTGAGGTCCAAGCTCCAAAGCAAAAACTCTGAAAGACGTTCAGAAACCCTGGAGTACTGCTCAAGACCATTTTACAAACAGTTACAAGAAAATCTGGCTGCCTAGAACCAAAACATCAAGAAATAATCAGAAAAGTCTCCAGATTCTTCCACAGTACTGTATTTCTTAAAAGTTTGAAAATTAAAACTAAAGGACTATAGGGAATGCAAGTTTTGATAATGTACATCACTCTCACCTTCCAACGTGAGATAAAATAAAACTTTCGAATTGGTTTTTTCAGTTTTTCATCTAATTCGATATAAGATATAAAAATGTTTTTCAAGGGCAGCAAAAGCACAAATATTCTTATTGTTAGGTCATTCTAAACGAATAAAAACACATAGGCCTTACTCGCACTGGAGCACTAAATTTGGCAGGTCACATTTTATATAAGAACCACTCGTACCGAAACTCAGAGGCGAGCATTTCCATCTTCACAAATAGAAGTCACAGTGATCTCCTCTGTGTCTTCATTTGTTCTAAATGAGACACCAAAACATGTCAAAGGGGGGTGAAACCTTGAACTACAAAGAAAAACAAAAATCAAAGAGGGCAGGATGAAATTCGTGTAGTTGGGAGAATTCTTTTGAAAAGTTTATTGAAAAATGACTACAAGGTACACAAAGAGTTTTAAAGAGAATCGGTTAATGAAAAGATGAGTCATCTGACATATCAACACTTTATTTTGTTTCATTTAACTTATTGTTCGTGCCATATATAACATTACAGTTTGAATCTGCTCTAACGTAAGCATTTTCTGAGAATCAATAATGACAACGTGTATAAGTCTAAAAGATATTAATAAAATACACAAAGGTGCATAATCTGAAAGAACGTTACAATTGACAGTGTTCAACTCTGTAATTGGATTTGATTTCTTTGTGCACATAATATGCAAAAACCTTGAGTTGCACATGAGATTTCACTCCCATATCAATGCAGCAGGTTCTTGGCAGCTCATCTGTAGTCCTCATTTCGAAGAGAAATGACAAAATGCTGTGAGAGCATATTCAGTCCATCATCTTTGTTCGTGGTAATCACTTATTTTTATACCATTATAGCTGAGAGAAGAGTTGAGCGGCATTGTCGATATTTACAGATTCCTTTGGTGGCTCTCTGACAACCTAAGAAATTTAAAAGTATATATGTTGATAGCAATAGAATTGTTTTAAAAACACAGGTAAAAGAATGTTAAAAGTCCATGATTTCCTCCTTTACCTGTATTTGTTTCTTTGGTTCAGGAGCGACTGACTTTGAAATGCTCTTAACATCCCTCTGGACTTCTGTGAAGATTTGATTTAGACTCTCCACTTTCTCCTTTTTCACTGTATTGATCTGTGATACCGCAATCATGTTAGAGCAGATGCAACAAACACCACGAACAAGGGAGGATACATAATACATGTACAAAAACAAAACCCAATAAGCCAAAAAAAAACAAAACCGGGAGTAAGAGATGAAAGAGATCTTACATGTTTGAGTGTTGTTGTGACGGGTTTCACTTTGGTCTTGTTCTTCAAGTGCTTGTTTGCCACTTGAAAGACATTCTTCTGTTTTTTCCCCTTTTGTTTATTCTTTGCCATTTCACCTGTGGAAAGAACGGCAATCAGCATGGATGCATTTGTGGAAATTATTTACTTTCTCTATCATGTTCTTCCTCCAGTGATTCCCTGTGTTTGTCTGGCAGTCTCTGCGCTGATCACACACTCACAGATTCATAGATTGCTCCTGATTCTAGACGTGCCTGGAAAGCCACCTGATTATCAACACCTCTTTTTACCCCAAAAAGCTCAGTTATGGCCATGGGCCTTAAAACAGTGGTCAAAAAGGTGTAGATGATATCAGAAAATGCTGTAAGTCAAATGAAAACGCACTAATTCAGTCAAGTTTTATAGTGTTATAACTTTTTATATTAACATTTTCCTGCACAACCTGCTCAAAAAACAAAAAAAGCCCTCTCAGTACACAGAGGGCTGATGTTGGAGTTTGATTTATAAACTACATAAATTCACAAATTCTTCCTGCCCAGTGAAGGTGACACACACAACTGCAGATTCTACAAGAGGCATAATAAGCAATAAACACAGCACAACTGAAATCTGCAAAAGGTAAAGACAACAGCAAAAGTATAACCTCCAGGGGGGAAAATATATTGCTTTGTCATTTACATTTTTTTATTTTAACCTTATTTGGGGACAATGATTTCACCCAATTTAACTGGTGAGTCTGTACATGCAGATTTCATGGTCTGGTGAAAAATGGAATCAAAGTGGATAAGGAGTCATAATGTGGCTGAAGAGCTGGGTGAAAAAAAACAAGCATATCTGTAGCTAAAGGCCTTTGCTGATATTATATGTGTTTTATTTATTTGTTGTTTTTTGTTTTACTTTTCTGGTAGCATATTTAGCCTTCATTTTTGACAGGACAGTAGAGTAAGGCGGTGGTATCGACTTGAGCATGGGCCCCCACAGTAGCATTTCAGCATTTGTATCACCTGCTCAAACCATCTCTTCATATATTCAGACTCTGGGAGGCAGCCAGAATACCTGAAGTAAACCTGCAGGCACATGCTAAGGAGAGGGGAACCAGCTTTATGCTGTGAGGCTACAGAGCTAACCACTACATTACCCAGTCGCTCCAACCTCATCCTTTTTATTGCCTGCACTTCTGGATATACAGCTTATCTGAGTTTGAGTCACGGGGGCAGCAATCTAAGCAGAGAAGCCCAAGCCACCTCTTCCAGCTCATTCTAGGGGGACACCTAGTCCCTCCCAAGCCAGGTGACAGCTACAGCCTCCACAGTGAGTCCTGGGTCTCCCCCATGTCCAAAACATCTCGCCTAGGAGGCATCCAGGAGGTATCCAAGTCAGATGCCGGAATGACTTTAATCAACCTATTATCTGGGTCTCTGGTGGAAATATGGAACTGCAAAATCTTTATCTTGTGTACATGGGCACAAACTAGCACGTTTGAGACCAGCCAGGGAAAAAACAAAGATCTTGCTCAGGAACATAAAAACGCTTCCATTTAGCTGGGCTCGGGACTGGCACTGGGAGTGCACTAGTCTGTGACCTGTGGTAACGTTAAAGGAATTTCCAAAGAAACGGTAAAGCTTAAAGACTAAAATTTATCATCAGTGTGTTGCATTTACACGGAAGGACAGCAAATAGACAACGTGAGAGGGAGACATTGTAAATACCTGATACACATACAGCAGTGCATAGAAAAGAGTTAAGACAAACAGCCAAGTAGAATACCATCAGAAATATAATAATAACAATAATAATAATGTGTATTACGGTCTTTAACGACATGTAATAATATTTCAGGCAAACTGAAATCCAGTGCGGTAACCAGCTAGTTAGCTGAGTGCCTCACATGTTAGCCTGTGTTATAGTACACATAACGACGATGAAACTAAGCGACTTATTTGAGGTTATTTATGTTGGTATAACAGTTCGTAAGTGTACGGCTGTAAGATGTTTATACGCCACTTACCGAACTTCTTCGAAGAGTGGCGTTAAAATCCTCGTGCTACTTGAAAACACCACCGTGCCTTCTTGGTGACGTCATTTGACTGCGACAGAAACGTAACGTTAACGCCCCTGTCACCTGTTTCGAGAGAGTAGCTGACTTTCTTTCTAGGACAAATGAGATAAACGATTATTTAATTTCTTTATATTATATTGTAAACTAAACTTATATATTTATACTCACACCACCATAACTTGTTTTTGCCTGAGATGCATTTCTTCTTTTTTGCTCGCTTTTAGGAACTCCACAGCAGAATATCGGCATCCCCCGTCACACCAACCCACTGCATGTTCTACATGTCTTCTCTAAGATCTTCCTCTTTTCCTCCTGCTGGTAGCTCCATCTTTCAATATATCCGTATTCTGATTTAAAAAAAAACAAAAAACATCCCAGCCTTGCTTTTTTTTTTTTACCTAATCTGTCCCTCTGATGTACTCATTTCCCATTCTGGTCATTCCCAATGAAACTTTTAACATCTCAATTTCCGCCTCCTGTCTTTTTGTTAGTCCCGCCATCTCCAAACCATACATCATAGCAGGTCTCACTACCATCTTGTAAATCTTCCCTTCACTCTTGGTGCTATACTGCTGTCACAAATCACCCCTGACCCTCGTCTCCAACCGCTTCATCCCGCCTGCACGCCCTTCTTCACGTCTCTTGTGCAGTGACCATTTTTTATTTTGGTTTGTGCAGTCTATTATTATGTCCTCTTGCACAGTCGCGTTTTCGTTTTTTCCTTTGGACCACTTCATACGCACCTGTTCATTATCGGTGAATACTGTCTCATTTGACTTTGATTTGTAGGCTAAATATTTATATGTATTATAGTCTGAAATAATAATAGAGCAAACTGGCCTTTAGTCCCTGTTTTGCGCCTTGATGAACTGTGCATATCAGATATATGTCCTATCATTTCTTGCTCCTGAGGCAGAAGGAGCGAGATAATCAGTGAAGCAGAGGTTAAGCCAGTCGCCCCAACCACTGAGCAAACTCATCAGTTCGTTTTAAAGCTTCACGGATCAGGTCCCTGTACCGGTAACACGTTGCTGTGCTGCCTGGGAAGCAACAGCAGGTGGCACCATAATACCATCGCAGCGCTTATCATTACCTGCATGTTTTTTGTTTTTTTGTTGTTGGGTTTTTTTTTTTCTGAAAAACCTTATTATGTCATTGTACTCTGAGTTGCAACGGGAAAGCAAGCGTTTATTGAAGATTATGAAGGAAGACGTAACCCCCCCCATCATCACTGACAGCCATCATGCAAATCATGCAGCAAATTGACCTATTAGTTTTTACTTTGTTTTTTATGAAAATCTTACCAGACACGCTCTAAAGTTCTTATTCCAGACCCCCACCCCCATTTCACACGCGATTTAACGATTGCTTTGTGCGTTTGCAGACATTTGTACTAACTGGTGTTTGCGACAACTTTTTGTGTAATTATTCGAAATCCATCTACCTCTCTATCGATATCTGGTGATTGTTTGCGCGTTACTGCCGCAATATCTCCACTGTCATGACTGTAGTCCACTGTCCGTCTGAATGTGTCACTGGGCTACGTGTCTTCTTCACTTCCTCACATGACAGACGCGTAAAATCCGTTAGATGAAAGGTGAGCACGCGCTCGTCGCGCTCGAGAGATAGGCTATTAAAGCTTCATAGCTGCTGGCCGATGAAACGTTTAAACCACCGCAGATTCAGTGAGAGAGAGAAAGACAGAGAGAGCGAGAGAGAGAGAGAGAGAGAGATCCATTGATCCGACGTGTTGCAGCGTTGCGGTGCATCTAAACTCCTCCCGGGCTGCCGGACGGACACGCCGCACACTGGGACCCTATATAAGCTCTGCAGCTGTCAGGTGGAGGACACTAGCTGCTCTGCACTGGGGAACGAGTCGCTTTAGCTTTAGGGGATTACAGCTCTGCCTGCTCGCTTATACATCCAAACTGTCACCATGTCTTGGGGATACAAACCAAACAATGGTGAGCCGCTGATTGCACTATATATATATATATATATATATATATATATATATATATATATATATATATACATACATATATATATATATATATATATATATATATATATATATATTACCAGTCCTACCAGCAAGCGGGCTGCTAAATGAACGAAGGACTGCATTCACGGATCACTGCGGAGATTTTTTGGGGGTTTTTTACATTGATTTATTTAGCCTACTATGCATATTTGGAGACGCACTCACACCTTCAGCTCCCAAATACACAGATAATTAAAATTTTAAAAGAATATATTTATAGATTGATATTAAATACAATGTTATTATTATTATGTAATTTCCAGGACCTCAGAAATGGGTTGAAAATTTCCCTATTGCCGATGGAGTCCGTCAGTCTCCTATTGACATCGTACCGGGCCAAGCATCATATGACGCGGGGCTGAAGCCGCTCACCCTGAAGTACGACCCGTCCACCTGCCTCGATATTCTCAACAACGGGCACTCCGTCCAAGTGACCTTCGCGGACGACACCGACAGCTCAAGTGAGTGTTAAAACTACCCGCACTAATAAATTTACAACCGTCCAGGTACTGATTGAGATTTCTCGGAGAAACACATTCTCTTTCATTCATATTACTCACAGTAACCGAGAAGCTATAAGATTCTTGGATCCAGGTTTGCGGACAATAAAAATCCGGCTCCTGAGGATGATTTATACAATGCAGTCATCTGCACAGCTGCCACAGACTCAAGCTTTAGACTAGAAAGACATTAATACTGTGCTTATAATATAGATGCGCCCCAGATTCCTTAACACCACGCCATTAGCGATGGCACAGATTTTATGTTGTTTTTGAAAAATGAAATATGTCGTTTTTACAATGAATACATTTGCTTAAGGTGCAGAGGTCTCGTTGAAAAGGCAAGCACAAAGCGCGATTGAATTGGTAATCTAACCCTTGGTAAACCTTTCCCACGCCAGCTCTGCTAACAGTGAGGTCAAAAGCACAAAAAAAGGGAAGGTTACTCATACATGAGCTTTGTTAATTATTAATGTCCCCATGTGTGCACAGAAACAGTTACTATGAAATTAATGCTAATATCTTTCTCTTTCAGTAAAACATTATTTGTTTGTTTATTTATTTTATGTGTGTTTCCATTCTGGTCATATTAAAACTTTTAAAAGATAAACAAAACATAAAAAAGGACATGTCCTCCACTTTTGTTTAGGATTCCTTAGGATTTCAGAGTGATGAGTGTTTTCTTTTGTTTTTCTTTAGTAGCTCTGATAGGGGATAATCGAGACTATGGTTGCATAATCAACTTAATCACAAGGATAAAATCTCTACTGCTCACACAAAGTGGTTTCTTATGTTTTCTTAGAATCTTACTGTACCTGTTTTAGGCCCGGCACTTCTAAGAAAGGTGTCTGTGTAACACATTCATGTTATACTCCACTAATTCTTCATTTTTCATGTAGACACAGATTACTTTTTTATCATTCAAGACCAAATAAATATCCTGTTTTGGGAGGCTCCATATGATGTTGCACCAGAAATAGAACAATATACAGGATTAATTGCTGCTGTTTGAACTACTTTGTATTCTTTAAATAGATACATTACACAACAGTGGAAAGAGGTCTGGTGTTTACAATACCTGGACATTACTTTGAACTGAATATCTCTAGCTGGGTTTACACAACAGGAACTGAGACTGCTTCCATGGAAGTGTGTCACAGTCACAGTGTCTACATGTGTGTATCACATCTTATTCCATTTCCTTTTGTTCGCAAATACAGCGCTTTTGAAGTGTTTTTCCTGCAGGTCAGATCTTTTTATGTCAGTGCTGAACAGTGAAGCACTTTTATCCACATTCTGCCATTTTTCTCTCTTTCTGCAGGTTTAACGGATGGACCAATCTCAGGGTTATACAGACTCAAGCAGTTTCATTTCCACTGGGGAGCTTCTGATAGCAAGGGATCTGAACATACTGTGGCTGGGACCAAATATCCCGCCGAGGTAGGGAATCTCTGGATCATTATGATAATACCGAGATAGCTGATTAATGTTGATGTACAGCAACAAAGAGATTGGGGCTGGGGGGGGGGAGAGACAAATTAGAGGCCATTAAAATTTGTCTAAAACAGAAATCTCATTGGTTGAATTAAAAAGGATCGAAGAAGAAAGGCCGCCTGGGAGGAAAATATGAGCAATTAGGGAGCTGGCCTCTTTTCCCATCATATTTGGCAGCATGTGTGGTTGCAATTTGATGTGTTTTGCCACAAATAGTTGCCTTTTCCTTATCTACTGTTTGCTCACCCAGCCATTGCTTAACCTCAAAGAAGCATATGATTGCACTCCCTAAACAGAACTTTAATTGCGTGCGGGGGGGGGCATTTAGAGACTCCAGGCCTGTTAATCCATGATTTAGGTGGTTTGGTCAAATAGTATCCATGGACACTAGCTAGCTAGCTGGCTAATTAACCAAGCTATGCAGCGGAAGGAGGCTGTTGAAAAAAGTGAATCCCCTTATGGCAGAGTGACGTGATGTTTTTTGTATGTATCCGTGTTTGTTGGCGCAGAAATAAATAGTATAGATGTACTTTTTAATGATGTAATGCAAGATTATTATTAGTTTACTACTTTCCTTGCAGACCTCTTGGGGTCACTGGACCTCATCTGGAGTATTATTGCCTTAATTCTCCCAACATCTGCTTTACGTTATCAAAAATAGAAATAATTAAACTATTGTTTCATCTACAGTTTAGGAATAAAGTTTCCTGTAAGGATTTTTTTTTAATGTAAATATAATTTTATTTCTAGCTTCATCTGGTGCATTGGAACACCAAATATACAAGTTTCAGCGAGGCTGCTAGCAAGCCCGATGGACTCGCTGTGGTTGGAGTTTTCCTGAAGGTGAGCAGAAACGATTAAAGTATCATTATATGCAGTATTACAATAAAACATGATAAACATTTAACCGCAGTGCATCATTTGTTCTTTTTCAGATTGGTGGTGAAAATCCAAATCTCCAGAAGCTTCTTGATGCCTTTGACACCATCAAGTCCAAAGTGTGTTTCTGTAAAAATAAGAGATTTTTTTTTTTTGA